ACAGCCTGCCTGTCCTCCAATGCCCAAGACTTGTACCAACACACCCCCTGCACAGCCTGCCTGTCCTCCAATGGTCAGACTTGTGCTGACACGCCCTCCTGCACAGCCTGCCTGTCCTCCAATGGTCAGACGTGCTAACACGCCCTCCTGCACAGCCTGCCTGTCCTCCAATGGTCAGACTTGTGCTGACACGCCCCCCTGCAAAGCCTGCCTGTCCTCCAATGGTCAGACTTGTGCTGACACACCCCCCTGCACAGCCTGCCTGTCCTCCAATGGTCAGACTTGTACTGACACACCCCCCTGCACAGCCTGCCTGACCTTCAATGGTCAGACTTGTGCTGACACCCCCCCTGCACAGCCTGCCTGTCCTCCAATGGTCAGACTTGTGCTGACACGCCCTCCTGCACAGCCTGCCTGTCCTCCAATGGTCAGACTTGTGCTGACACGCCCCCCTGCACAGCCTGCCTGTCCTCCAATGGTCAGACTTGTGCTGACACGCCCCCTGCACAGCCTGCCTGTCCTCCAATGGTCAACTTGTGCTGACACGCCCTCCTGCACAGCCTGCCTGTCCTCCAATGGTCAGACTTGTGCTGACACGCCCTCCTGCACAGCCTGCCTGTCCTCCAATGGTCAGACTTGTGCTGTCACGCCCCCCTGCACAGCCTGCCTGTATATATATATTGAGATGTATTGAATTGTAGTATTTCAATTATATGTCAATATATTTGTGAAGAATACTTTTAAAATATATTTAAAATATATTTTTCTTCCATGTGGGTACACCCACAGTTGATCCAGAAGAAGGCAGAAACCCAGCAAAGCACTATCCAATCTCCTGCAGGGGAAAAAAATTCCTTTCTGATCCCCCGAGAGGCAATCGGATATTCCCGGGATCAATAATCGGATATTCCCTGGATCAATAATCGGATATTCCCTGGATCAATAATCGGATATTCCCTGGATCAATAATCGGATATTCCCGGGATCAATAATCGGATATTCCCTGGATCAATAATCGGATATTCCCGGGATCAATAATCGGATATTCCCGGGATCAATGATCGGATATTCCCGGGATCACCTTTCCCTATAAATGTTATATCCAGTTATATTCTGTGTATCCAAGAAAGGATCCAGGACTTTCCTACAACAATCCACTGATTGGCCACACCCACCTCTGGAGGGAGTCTATTCCACATTCTCACAGCTTAAAGATGAATTTCTCACCAGTGACTGCAGTGGCTACGAAGGTGAGTGAGGGTTAAATTTAAAGCTCCTCTGACTGCCTATTAACACTGTGCACATGCTTTGATTTTTTCTCCGCCCCGGGCACAGGTACACTTTAAAATGAGAATGTTAAGAAGAAGAAACATTGGAATTGCGTGGACTCGCGCTGCGTCTTGTACGACTTTGGTCTCCCTCTACGTTGACTCCGGCACCTCGCCTCCTCAGGCAGTTTCATGCGATAAACCTCAACGCACCGGCATAAAAAAAAAAATATAATAAATAAAAGATCCGCCATGCAAATAATTGAAAGGTTCACAGAAAACACACATTTCCCGGCTGCACTGTGACCTAAATATTTATACTGAGACCTGCAAAATGCGCGCGGATTCTCTCTTTAGTGGGAATCACAAGCTTGGGACAGCGGCATGAATATTTCATGGGCGGCGTATAAATAATTCTCTTGGAAATTGAAGATCAGAAAGTGACTATTGAGTGATGTGGGACATTTATGTAAGGACTGAACTCTCCGCATGCTAAGCTAGACTAATCTTCTGAGGCCACCAAAAAAAAGAGGGCGCCTCCAGAACGTTCCTGGTGCAGCGCGGGCCGAGGGCGGTGTACAATATCAGTCTAATAACCTCCAGAGTTCCTGGCCGAGTCACCTCCTAATAGAACGGAGTAAAAGTCGCTCAATTATTGAGACACCCGACGGGAGGAACAGTTCGTTTAAATGAGATGAGCCGACGCATCCGGAGCACGCCGAGCGCCAGTCAGATCCGCGGCATCACTGCTCTTCCATGCGGCCGCTGACGTTGTCTATGAATGCATTATCGGGCCGGTGGGTTCATCTAACGTGTCCATTAGGACCTGTTCATATATCCACTTATGGAGCTTCCCGGGGATGCAGCGCGGGGGTCAGGCGCACTTGAGCTCTTAGCGTCGGATTTCAGGCACTTATCTCGCATTTCTTTGATTTGATGCTTTTACTGCATTTCTTATACATTGCAAGAAAAACCCTTCAAATGTATCTATAGGGATGACCTGAGCGGCCCCGAGCGGCCCCGAGCTCACTGACCCCGAACCCCTTGAAATCAATTAGAGCCAAATCTGTGATTGGAAGAGTGTCTATTTTCTGGGCTAATACCTTGGCTTGGGGGGGGGGGGGGGGGGGAGGGGCGCTGCTATAGGAAACATGTACAGATGCAAAAAAACAAAAAACAACAACAATCCGCCAGGAGCGGTGATTTAAACAAATACTTAGGCTGAAACATAAAAAATGACCAATTCCTTTAAATAACGTGCCTGGGCATCCTAGACCTGCCTGTGGAGGGGTGTCCTAGACCTGTCTGTGGAGGGGCGTCCTAGACCTGCCTGTGGAGGGGCATCCTAGACCTGCCTGTGGAGGGGTGTCCCAGACCTGCCTGTGGAGGGGTGTCCTAGACCTGCTTCTGGTGGAGGGGCGTCCTAGACCTGCCTGTGGAGGGGTGTCCTAGAGCTGTCTATGGAAGGGGTGTCCCAGACCTGCCTGTGGAGGGGTGTCCTAGACCTGCCTGTGGAGGGGCGTCCTAGACCTGCCTGTGGAGGGGAGTCCTAGACCTGCCTGTGGAGGGGCGTCCTAGACCTGCCTGTGGAGGGGCATGTCCTAGACCCTGCCTGACCTGCCTGTGGAGGGGTGTCCTAGACCTGCCTGTGTAGAGGGGCCTCCTAGACCTGCCTGTGGAGGGGCTAGTCCCAGGGGAGTCCTAGACCTGCCTGTGGAGGGGCGTCCTAGACCTGCCTGTGGAGGGGCGTCCTAGACCTGCCTGTGGAGGGGCGTCCTAGACCTGCCTTTGTGGACGTCCTAGACCTGCCTGTGGAGGGGCGTCCCAGACCTGCCTGTGGAGGGGTGTCCCAGACCTGCCTGTGGAGGGGCGTCCTAGACCTGCCTGTGGAGGGACGTCCCAGACCTGCCTGTGGAGGGACGTCCCAGACCTGCCTGTGGAGGGGCGTCCAAGACCTGCCTGTGGAGGGGCGTCCTAGACCTGCCTGTGGAGGGGTCCGTCCTAGACCTGCCTGTGGAGGGGCGTCCCAGACCTGCCTGTGGAGGGGCGTCCCAGACCTGCCTAGTGGAGGGGGCGTCCCCAGACCTGCCTGTGGAGGGATGTGCCAGACCTGCCTGTTGAGGGGCATCCCAGACCTGCCTGTGGAGGGGTGTCCCATACCTGCCTGTGGAGGGGTGTCCCAGACCTGCCTGTGGAGGGGTGTCCGGACCTGCCTGTGGAGGGGTGTCCCGGACCTGCCTGTGGAGGGGATGTCCCAGACCTGCCTGTGGAGGGGCGTGTCCCATGGACAGACCTGCCTGTGGAGGGGCGTTGTTGGTACCTGTGTGGAGGGGTGTCCCATGACCTCCTGGTGGAGGGGTGTCCCGGACCTGCCTGTGGAGGGGTGTCCTTGTGACGCTGCTTGGTGGTGGTTGTTGTCCGTTACCTGCTGTGCACCATGGGATTGTCCCATGACCTGCTTGTGTGTGGTTGTTGGACTGCCTTGCAGAGGGACAGTCCTTGTGACGCTCGCCTGTGGAGTGTGGTTGTTGGACGTGTTGCAGCACCATGGATGTCCTTGTGACTCTCGCTTGTGTGTGAGTTGTTGGTACCTGTTGCAGCACCATGGACAGATCCTTGTGACGCTCGCTTGGTGTTTGTGGTGTTGTTACGTGTTGCAGCACCACGGACAGATCTTGTGATGCTCGCTTGGTGTGTGGTTGTTGGTACGTGTTGCAGCACCATGGACAGATCCTTGTGATGCTCGCTTGGTGTGTGGTTGTTGGTACGTGTTGCAGCACCATGGACAGATCCTTGTGACGCTCGCTTGGTGTTTGGGTTGTTGTTACGTGTTGCAGCACCATGGACAGATCCTTGTGACGCTCGCTTGGTGTGTGGTTGTTGGTACGTGTTGCAGCACCATGGACAGATCCTTGTGACTCTCGCTTGGTGTGTGGGTGTTGGTACGTTTTGCAGCACCATGGACAGATCCTTGTGACGCTCGCTTGGTGTTTGGGTGTTGTTACATGTTGCAGCACCATGGACAGATCCTTGTGATGCTCGCTTGGTGTGTGGTTGTTGGTACGTGTTGCAGCACCATGGACAGATCCTTGTGACGCTCGCTTGGTGTTTGGGTGTTGTTACATGTTGCAGCACCATGGACAGATCCTTGTGACGCTCGCTTGGTGTACGGTTGTTGTTACATGTTGCAGCACCATGGACAGATCCTTGTGACGTTCGCTTGGTGTGTGGTTGTTGGTACGTGTTGCAGCACCATGGACAGATCCTTGTGACGCTCGCTTGGTGTGTGGTTGTTGGTACGTGTTGCAGCACCATGGACAGATCCTTGTGACGCTCGCTTGGTGTGTGGTTGTTGGTACATTTTGCAGCACGGACGGTTCTTCACCAGTTTGGGTTTTTGCATAGCTATCAGTCAGTCGTGTAGCACTAGTTAGCTCCTAGCAATGTTGAGTTGTTGGATTGTTGTCGGTCAGTCATGCAGCTCCATGGACAGATCCCTACAGCTTTGGCTGAGACCTTTATGTTCAGTCAGTTATGCAGCACCATGGACAGCAATCAACAACTTCGGCTCAGAGAAATGCCATCCACAAGCAGAGTTCAGCAATATACTCTCTCGGGGGAGGTCTCCGGGGATCGAGCTGATTATTCCTCATCATGGACGGCTCCTATCAATGTTGGGTTAGCGTATTCTTAGTGGTCAGTTATGCAGCTCCATGGACAGCAGCGCACAACGTGGCCTCCGAGTAGAGTCATTCATCAGTTATGCAGCACCGTGGGGACAACTCCCTACAAGTCTGGGTTAGCGGATTGTTATTGATCAGGTAGGCAGAAGCATTGATAGCACCTTACAGCACTGAGCTAGTGCAGCCTTCCTCAAACCCCCTTTCCAAAGAGGAAGTCTTACAATAATTTTCAGGTTTCGAGGAACCCCTTCAGAAGTCAGTGGGAAGAATGTCCCTTACATTGGAGGTCAATAGGAAGAATGTCCCTTACATTGGGGTCAGTGGGAAGAATGTCCCTTACATTGGGATCAGTGGGAAGAATGTCCCTTACATTGGGGGTCAGTGGGAAGAATGTCCCTTACATTGGTGGTCAGTGGGAAGAATGTCCCTTACATTGGGGGTCAGTGGGAAGAATGTCCCTTACATTGGGGGGTCAGTGGGAAGAATGTCCCTTACATTGGTGGTCAGTGGGAGGAATGTCCCTTACATTGGGGGTCAGTGGGAAGAATGTCCCTTACATTGGGAAGAATGTCCCTTACATTGGGGTCAGTGGGAAGAATGTCCCTTACATTGGGGGGTCAGTGGGAAGAATGTCCCTTACAGTGGTGGTCAAAGTGTTACCCTTACAGACAGATAATAGATCTCAGGTATCATGCTGCTAGATCTGCACAGTGGCTCTGGCCTCAGAACTATGCAGACAAATCCAAATGGGAGGTCAGTCAGTCACAATTCAATGAACCCCCAGCAACCTCTGGAGGAACTGTGATAGAGAATGGCTGGGTTAGTGTACTGTTTCGGGTCATTATGCCGCCCCGTGGACAGCTGCTCGCTGCATGATATAGGTGAAGTGTAATGGAACCGAACCCCGACTGCACTCGGGTATTTCCATTAGACTCCCACTTCCCTGTCTGAACACAGATCCCCGGACACCACTCTTGGAGGAAAACCAGGAAATAGACTCCTTTATTTTAACACAGAGACAAGATATATACACAGAGCGGGGCAATCCACACCCAGTAACAAGAAACACACCAGCAGGCCGTCCCATCAGGGGGAAGGGCTGCCAGAAACACCCCCCCCACCAAGCCATTACATAAGCACATACATCCCATAATAGTTTACTCCCAAGCAAGAGACACAATAGAACAATGGGATACAATCACATGACATTAAACAACAACCCCCCCACCCCACCTATCTCCTATACATATCTGCACAGTACCAGGACATTTCACCCGGCACCCCTAACAGGCACAGGGTGACTTACACATAGGAGGGAAATGGGGAGCTGAGACAGGGGTCTCCCCACCTCTCCCCCACCCAAAGTGAGCTGTGTTGCACGGGCCCCCCACCCAAAGTGAGCCATGTTCCATGGGCCCCCCCACCCAAAGTGAGCTATGTTCCATGGGCCCCCCACCCAAAGTGAGCTGTGTTCCATGGGCCCCCCACCCAAAGTGAGCTGTGTTCCATGGGCCCCCCACCCAAAGTGTTCCATGGAGCTGTGTTCCATGGGCCCCCCACCCAAAGTGAGTTGTGTTCCATGGGCCCCCCACCCAAAGTGAGCTGTGTTCCAAGCTCCCCCCATCCAAAGTGAGCTGTGTTCCATGGGCCCCCCACCCAAAGTGAGCTGTGTTCCATAGGTCCCCCACCCAAAGTGAGCTGTGTTCCATGGGTTCCCCCCCACCCAAAGTGAGCTGTGTTCCATGGGCCCCCCACCCAAAGTGAGCTGTGTTCCATGGGCCCCCCTCCCAAAGTGAGCTGTGTTCCATGGGCCCCCCATCCAAAGTGAGCTGTGTTCCATGGGCCCCCCATCCAAAGTGAGCTGTGTTCCATGGGCCCCCCACCCAAAGTGAGCTGTGTTCCATGGGCCCCCCACCCAAAGTGAGCTGTGTTCCATGGGCCCCCCCCACCCAAAGTGAGCTGTGTTCCAAGCTCCCCCCACCCAAAGTGAGCTGTGTTCCATGGACCCCCACCCAAAGTGAGCTGTGTTCCATGGGCCCCCCCCCCCCCACCCAAAGTGAGCTATGTTCCATGGGCCCCCCACCCAAAGTGAGCTGTGTTCCATGGGCCCCCCACCCAAAGTGAGCTATGTTCCATGGGCCCCCCACCCAAAGTGCGCTGTGTTCCAAGCTCCCCACCCAAAGTGAGCTGTGTTCCAAGCTCCCCACCCAAAGTGAGCTGTGTTCCATGGGCCCCCCACCCAAAGTGAGCTGTGTTCCATGGGCCCCCCACCCAAAGTGAGCTGTGTTCCATGGGCCCCCCACCCAACGTCACTCCTGTCACATTACAGGTACAATGGGAAACGTCCGGAATTCCTGGGCTTTACATTCACACAGCTCAGCAGTTTGCACCCCTGATAACCAGCAACATGTGATTTCATGCATGGGCGTGGCTTGGTGAACCACAGACAGCCGGATGAAGAAATGTGAAGTTCCAGGAAGGTAGGCTTTGCGTTTTCTACATGTCGTAGCTTTAGCTGCACTTTGGATTGAATCTTCACACCTCTGAGATGCTTCACACATTTTATTTTCAGAGATGATCGGGGAAGTGCAGAGGGAACATCTGACTCCTCCATTTGCCCTGTGACCACCTGACCACAGCAGGACCACCATAATGGACATAGACTCAGCTGGCCTTTGATCCTGCCTCGCCGCCTCCCGAATTAAGACCAAAGCCGATATGAAATGAGCAGCGATCCTGCGGCTCCATTTCCAAGCTCCTGACTGCCAGTGGAAGGAACACAAGGCCTTTCATCTTCACGTAAGCGCCATTCACGCAGGAGCACTCTCAGGAAACCAATATGTTGTTGAGTAGCTTTGGGACGGACTCAAGTCTTTGCCTCCCGTCCAATCATTGCATTGTTTGTAATGTACGGAACATTTCTTCATGGCCTTCCATCTCTCAGACAATATTAGGCGTGATTACCCGAGCGCACTCTTCCTCTGAAGCATGCAACAAAAACACAATGAGGCCGCCAGATGCTGCAAATCTTTCAATGCTTCGCTTTGACTGCTTATTATTTTTATTACCATTTATTTTCTACGTCTTAATTTACTCGGCAGTAACATTATAACCCGGGAAAGGAGTTCCAGCGCAGAAAAGCCTTCAATTACTCAATAAAGAGTTCAGAAAACACAAGTTTATGATATAATAGATTCAAATCACCTCCTACAACAATCTTTTCTGAACCACTTAGATCCTTCTAATTCTTCCTTAAAGGGACCCTGCACTTGTCTCTGCAACCCTTCACTGACTCAGCCAGCACCTCCGGGGGCCCCAGAGTCAGAGATCATTCCTATACATGCTGATGGGCCCAGTGTTGTCGCAGGAATGCCGATCCGTGCCGGGGGAGGGGATTTCATTGGTTCTTGGCCAGAGAAGAGCGACTTTGGACACTGCCTCAGTGCTCTCTGTCCTCCTAATGGACTTCAGCTGAGTGTGTTACCACGACCATCCACCTGGGGGAGCTGACAAGCAGAAGGAGCTCAAGAGACTTGATGGTGGGCAGCATGGAATCATGGGAAAAGTTACATCTGGGAAAGAAACTTTACTATGGCAGTCTATGGACCAGTGGACTACACTTCCCGATGTGGGTATAAAGGAGACTGAGTTGTATTTTCTTGGGCTGAATATCGAGGAACTTTCTCTTTAGTGTGGGGAGGCAGTGATTGGCACATCTCCATCTCCTCAAAGCAAAGACAAAGTTCCTCGATATTCAGCCCAAGGAAATACAAAGTCCAAAGTCGCTCTTCTCTGGTCCTCAGACTGCCATAGTAAAGCACAACAACCTGCTACAAGCCTGTGGCCATGTGTGCTCTGGACCGGAGTCACCCCAGAAAGATCTAGAAGTGAGATGACATCTGAACAGCAGGACCCCGGTTACTGTATCGCTGGTGAGAGGACACTGCTGCCATTATCCTACAGCTAGCAGAGACTGAGCACATAGGGAATGGCCATCAAACTAGCAGCATTATTTACTGCATGAAGCATTTACTGAGACTATTCTCATGTGCACCACCCTAAGGACCTCAACACGAGCCGGCTGAAGAACCAGAACGTAAAGACTGCTCACTCAGACAGCTGCTTCACAAGAACTTTGCCTGTTGTCCATATTCAGGGGCACCTCTTTAGGGAGTTCTACATTTCATATAGAGTGCACTCCAAGGTGGCCTACTGTATACAGAGGAGTTGTCGCAGCATTGTGATATAAAAAGGTCAACCTATTGTTGACGTAGCCTGGGTGCAGTGTTTGTCAACCAGAACTCCTCTAAAACAAGGGGAGCAGCTAAAAATGTGTACATTGCCCATCAAATCATTTCCAGAACATTTGCCTAATTGGAAACAATTGTATCTGTTTTCTCATTGCATTAGAGTACAGCTTATGGTTGCAGATATTGTTCCAATATCATTTGTTTGAGAAAAGTTCACACTGGAAGGCCGAGGCTTACTCCTAAAACAACAGATTTTTTATATGATCAACTCTGGTCAACTATGGTGAACTATGGTCAATTATGGTGAACTATGGGAAACTATGAACTATGGTCAATTATGGTGAACTATGGTGAACTATGGTCAATTATGGTGAACTATGGTGAACTATGGTCAATTATGGTGAACTATGGTCAACTATGGTGAACTATGGGGAACTATGGGGAACTATGGTGAACTATGGTCAACTATGGTCAAACTATGGTCAACTATGGTCAATTATGGTGAACTATGGTCAACTATGGTCAATTATGGTGAACTATGGTCAACTATGGTGAACTATGGGGAACTATGGGGAACTATGGTGAACTATGGTCAATTATGGTGAACTATGGTGAACTATGGTCAATTATGGTGAACTATGGTCAACTATGGGGAACTATGGGGAACTATGGTGAACTATGGTCAATTATGGTCAAACTATGGTGAACTATGGTCAATTATGGTGAACTATGGTCAACTATGGTGAACTATGGGGAACTATGGTCAACTATGGTCAATTATGGGGGAACTCTGGTGAACTCTGATCAATTATGGTCAGCTATGGTCACTATGGTTCAATTATGCGTGAATTATGGTGAATTATGTGAACTATGGTGAACTATGGTAACTATGGTGAAATAAATCCAATCAAAACTATGGAGAAAACTATGGTCATAAAAACGCTACAAATCTGAACACAAATAGTGGATGTAAATAGTCGGTGGCACTGCAGGTATCACTTGGCACTTCTGTGACTTGTAGTGCCACAAACTATTTCTATCCACAATTTATGTTCAGATTTGTAGCGTTTTTATGATTTACGTCTTTCTATGATCTGAGACGTTTGATTGGATTTATTTCGCTGAATATTGTATGAACACCTCCAGTCACATCGCACGTTATGAGTGCGTTTGTCACTTGTGCTGCAGTTCTGCATTTATATTTGGATTGATTTTTGTGGATTTGTTGCCTTTCCTGCGGCCGCCATTTTCTCTGCACTCGCCTCATATCGTGTATTATATCTGATTGGCCCAATCCTTTACTGACCCGTGTGTGTGCATACTGCCCGTTGCTGCAACCCGGGACAACAGATTGGGTCCACTTACCTCTCACCAGTCTGATGTTCGCTTTATGATACTAACCCTACAAATGACAATT